AATTTCTTCGCTTTTTTCGTCCAGGTTCTTGCCTCGTGCATCGACCCGGTCTCGTTCGGTGATGTCGGCAGCGCGGATGATTCCTGCTGCGTCAAGTGCGTCGACACGGTTTCTTTCGGAGATGTCGGCAGCGCGGGTGATTCCTGCTGTGTCAAGTGCCACCAACCAGTACCGATGACAACGTTCGACGATGGTGATTCAGCGGTACAAAACGGAAGCATCGCTCGATTTTTCGAACTTTATCCTCTTCGAGACAACATCTTCGAGACAACATCGACACCAACAGGACCAGCGAGCAACGCCCCTCAGGCTTTTTTCGTCAGTGGGCAAGGCGGCAGCCGAACGATGCAGCCACGGCTCAATTTCTTCGCTTTTTTCGTCCAGGTTCTTGCCTCGTGCATCGACCCGGTCTCGTTCGGTGATGTCGGCAGCGCGGATGATTCCTGCTGCGTCAAGTGCGTCGACACGGTTTCTTTCGGAGATGTCGGCAGCGCGGGTGATTCCTGCTGTGTCAAGTGCCACCAACCAGTACCGATGACAACGTTCGACGATGGTGATTCAGCGGTACAAAACGGAAGCATCGCTCGATTTTTTGAACTTTATCCTCTTCGAGACAACATCTTCGAGACAACATCGACACCAACAGGACCAGCGAGCAACGCCCCTCAGGCTTTTTTCGTCAGTGGGCAAGGCGGCAGCCGAACGATGCAGCCACGGCTCAATTTCTTCGCTTTTTTCGTCCAGGTTAGTAGAAAGCTTTCTACTAAACAATTGAAAAGTGATTGTTTATGTTTGATTGTGCTGCCTTGCCCAGGCGTGTTGTGCGATTGTATAGCGGGTTGTTTTGACTGGTTTTGTTTTCTTATTCTTCTTTTGAGCGGGGATGTTGAAATGAACCCTGGTCCAACTATCAACGAGCAGTTGGCACAAATCATTGAAAGTCAAAAAGAAAACTCGAAAGAACTAAAGTCAATTCAAGGAAAATTAGACTCGCACATATCGGAAACAGATAAAAGATTGACTTCTATAGAGGGAAAGCTGGAGTCATTTTCGCGTACAGTAGAAAGAATGGATGACTGTGAGCATGCAGTGAACAATCTAAATCATCAGGTTGCAACGATAATGAGCAAAATAGATGATCTCGAAAACCGCAGTCGACGGAATAATTTGATTGTATACGGGGTAAATGAACGTGAAACTGAAACGCCCAATTCTCTCCGGGAATTTGTCTTGTCGGGAATATTTGAGGAAAAGCTGGGCATTAAGGTCAGCAGCCTCGAACGTATCCATCGCTTGGGTAAAAAGACACCAAACAAAACTCGCCCTATAATTTTGCGTTTGTTTGACTTTAACGAAAAAATGGAGCTGCGAAGAAACTCAAGGAAATTTAAGGGAACGAAAATTTCAGTCTCGGAAGATTTTTCGCTTAAAATTCAGAACATCCGGAAACAGTTATGGGCTACAGTTAAAGATAAAAGAAAACCCGAAGATAAAGTATATCTTAAGTATGATAAGTTGGTTATTAATCAGGATGTGTATGTGTGGGATGACGTAAATTGTCGAAGATGTAAGCTAACGGGCTCTGGGATTGATGACGTGAACGACGCACAAGATCATCTTGCTAGCACTTCCCAGTCCGGAAGAGGTAGGGACGGTGACAGGCTGCCCGAACACACACGCGAAAGAGTGGCCAAATCTATTCCGGGCGACCGTGACCGAGTACGTTCAAATGAACAAGCGTATTCCACCCGTGCTCGTAAAAATCAGGCAGCGACATCTTCGAATTCGCAGACACTGTCAGAAGCGTCATAGCTACGTGCAGGAAGTGGTGGCGAACATGTTACTTTCTTTCCATCTGTTTCAGTTACGTTTACTAACATAAGAAGTGTTATGAATAAACGAGATCAGCTTAACTCTGTTGTCAGCTCAACGAACGCAGACCTAATCTTTCTTACGGAAACATGGCTTAGTAAACATGTCTGCAGCTCTGAAATTTTCCAAGGAGATAAAACATATAATGTATATCGTTTTGACAGAGATGGTAGACATGGGGGTGGCACACTCATAACCGTATCACAGAGCATACCTTCATTTTGCGTAGATGTTCTTTCCAATCTAGAAATTGTTTGGGCTTGTATCACTTTAAATAACACAAGAATTTTATTCTGCGTCTGCTACCGCCCCCCAAACAGCGCAGTGACATTTATTGATGATTTACATGACGTTATGAATTCTATTGTTTGTCAGTATCCCAGTTCTCCTATTTTTTTATTAGGAGATTTTAATTTTCCTGATATCATGTGGTCTGACCCACCTTCTTTTCAACATGTTTCAACTCAGAGTCAACTTTTTTTGGATCTGTGTGCGTGTTTTAATTTGACACAGCTGGTAATGAAACCAACAAGGTATGTCAATGATACAGCGAACACACTTGATTTAATTCTGTCCACACACCCTGACCTTCTATCTTCCCTTACGTATCTTCCAGGCTTAAGTGATCACTCGTTGTTAAATTTTGATCTCAAAGTTGCTCCCCCAATCAATAGTAAAAAAGTAAAGCTTATTTCTGATTACAATAAAGCCAATTTTGATCTTATTAATGAAAAACTGTGCAGCTATCTGGACACATATCTGCCAGAATTTGATCAGCGAAGCGTGCAGGAAAATTGGAGATTATTTTGTTTAAAAGTAAACGAACTGATTGATGCGCATGTACCCGTCAGGCGTATTCAATCTGATGCTAAAGCACCTTGGTATACTAACGCCCTAAAACGTCTTTCCAATAAAAAACAGCGACTTTTTCGTTCAGCTAAACAACGTAACACGATTGATAGGTGGGAAGCATACTTTGCAGCTGAGGTCGAATATTCCCTAGCTGTATCTGACGTCAAAGAGAATTTTTTTAAGAACACTTTACCGGGTCTATTGTTGAATGACCCCAAAAAGTTCTGGAAGACTGTTAAACTAAATGACGACGGCTTAATTTCTCTTAGCGATGAGTCTGGGGCGTTAATCCCTCCAGCAGAATATCCATCAGTGTTTAATAATGTTTTTTCAAATAGTTTTTCTGTAGCTGATGGAAATGTATCGTATGACGTTCCACGTTGTGAGTTTAGCCCTATGTTTCCAATTTCCATGGAACCTACTGGAATTGTAAAGCTAATTGATTCTTTGAAAGTATCATCGTCATGTGGAAGCGATAATATTAACTCAAAATTTCTAAGACAAACTAAAATGTACTCATCCTTTTTTTTGGCCAAAATTTTCCAGCAATCTCTTGAGTGTGGAACGCTCCCAATAGAATGGAAAACTGCGAAGGTGGTTCCACTGCATAAGTCCGGTAACAAGCATTCTCCATTAAATTATCGACCCATTTCACTAACAAGTATTCCTTGTAAAATAATGGAGCACATTTTGTACTCTCATATTTTCAATTACTTAGAATCCAATTCATTTTTCGCTCCTGCTCAACATGGTTTCCGTCGCTCATTTTCTTGTGAAACGCAGCTGCTTCATTTCACCCATTGTTTGCATGCTATACTGGACAAAAACCATCAGGCTGACTGTATTTTTCTCGATTTTTCTAAAGCATTCGACAGGGTTAATCATAAGTTACTAATGCTTAAACTTTCTTCATTAAGCCTAGATCCTAACTTGTTAACCTGGCTGGAATGCTTTCTAACCAACCGCTCACAATATGTAACTCTAAATGGCGTTAATTCATCCCTGACTGATGTTGTATCGGGCGTACCCCAAGGTTCAGTTTTAGGCCCGCTTCTTTTTCTAATATTCATTAATGATTTACCAAGTTGTGTTTCTTCCTCCATGCATTTATATGCAGATGACTGTGTAATTTATCGGGAAGTTCATGATGATGATGACGTACGCATTTTGCAATCTGATTTAATTAATATTACTCTTTGGTGCAAAAAATGGCGTATGGAATTAAACCCTAACAAATGCAAACTAATGCGCGTTTCCCGGCAAGGCGCACGCCCTTCAAAATATACACTAACCGACATTCAACTTGAATCTGTAAATTCATACCGTTATCTGGGTGTTACTATATCGTCGACATTAACCTGGAAGCCTCATATTGATATAATAATCGCCAACGCTAACCGCATGTTAGGATACTTACGACGAAACTTCAGAACGGCCCCAGTTAACTTAAAACTTCTTCTTTATAACACTCTTGTACGGTCAAAATTGGAATACGCAGCCTCTATTTGGGATCCTAACCACACGTTTCTGCATAAAGCTCTCGAACTAGTTCAAAATAACGCCGTTCGTTTCATTCTGTCTAATTATAATCGAACAGCTAGCATATCATCAATGCAATCCAGTTTATTGTTACCCTCTTTATCATTGCGCAGAAAGTTTTTTCGACTTTGCCTGTTTCATAAAGTGTATCATCATCAGTCGCTGCGAGACCATTTCTTTACATTGCCTAGCTATTACTCTTCCCGTCTGGACCATCGGAATAAAGTTGGATTAACACGTTGCCAAACAAACACTTTTTTTTATTCATTTATCCCGCATACATCAAACGACTGGAACCACCTTCCAGCAGATATCGCAACTATACCTGATTATTCTCTTTTTCGCCAATCTTTGTCTACATTTCTGTTTGGTGAGCCAACATGAGTCATTTTATTTTGTTTATTTTTTTCCGTAAAATATATTGCTTGCCGCTTTTGCCAATGGCTGTGTGTTTTTGATATTTCAATTTCTTGTTGTTTGTTTTTTATTGTTTTGTCAGTTTGTTTTATTTTGCTTTGCCCCTCCCCTCTACAATGCTTCGGCGCTTGAGGGTATGTACAATAAATAAATAAATAAATAAATACAAATAAAAACCGTGGCGAGCATAACTGCCCTGTCAGTCTCCCGTTAAGGCACGCGTGTGACAAGGCAGTGATAATGTTGTTGTTTAGAAAGCGCCCTTACATTGTGGAGCACTAACGTACAGTTTAAATTTGATATACTTATAGTCAAAATACCTCTAGCGGTGTCCTCTGCGATGAAAATGGAGAAAACCGGCTTTTCTGAAAATCCGTTTTTTGTCAGACCTAGAAAAAAAAAACAAACAGAAAGCTGCGCTATTAGGGATTGTCATTCACCAAAAATACCCGGAAGAGTTTATGCAGAACACAGTGAGGAATGACGATAGAAATGTGACTTTAAATGCCAGTGCAGCTGTGCAGCAACCCCCACGGTACTAAGTAAACTTGTATGCGCAAACATAGAAGACAAACACGAAGGGTGGATTAGGACAGGCCCAACTTTAAACTAGTTTCATTCGCGGCCAAGAGACCGCGAAAAGCTCAGAAGGAGAATGTGCTGCACTCTGAAAAAGGAGGCCAAAAAAAATAAGAACCCATAAAAACTAAGAAATACCCTTCTGAACTTTTCGCAGTCGCTTGGCCGCGCATAACAAAGTCTTGCTTACCGTCGTCCCCCTTCATGTTCGTCCTCTGTGTTTTCGCATAGAAGACGCATTTTGTTGCGATCATATTTAGACATGTTTGATGCCAGCACGTCTCAACGGATGGCTTGTCTCTTACCTGTAGATGAAAAATTCAGCGAGTACAGTACAATCGCTAACCTGCAGCCTTTAACGTGTACCACGGAGTAGTGATTACACAAACGCTTGTCAGTGCGAAACTCACCCAGATCAAAACGGGCAGGGGATGGAGATCAAAGCGCGCAGAGGATGGAGATCGAACCCAGTAGGTTCTGCAGCCCAAGCTTTTGCTGCACGCCCCGAGCAGAGACGCGTTAGCCCACTTGGCCACCGATTCCACCTGTTTTGTTCTCACATTCAAGTTTACTCAGTGCCTTAAACCAACTACCTCAACCCAAAGACTTGCTAAACCCACTCTGTGCATTTTTTTTATGGCGGAAGCAATAAAATAAAATAAAAGAGGCTTTCAAAAAAAAAAAAAAAAAAAAACTTGGGCTATTGTTGGAAGCACCTTTCCAAGTTCAACGATTTCTCCTACCAGGAGAGGGAAAGTAAAGAGTTGCACTTATGGGCCTTAAGGTGACGTGCAAAGGAAAAACATTTCTTTTTAAAAAGCCTAAATGAAAAAAAGGATGTCATAAAACAACATTTACAGCGAAAAAAAAATTACAGCTATATCTGGCGCCCGCTGGAGCCCGCAGAAGAGTGGCCGCTATGGTCACGTGACTGGCCGCCATGGTCACGTGGTCTTTGCGCTCTTTCGGGAGCTTCATACGGGTTCTAAAAGTTACTTATTATTCTTCGTTTGAAGTGTCAACAAAGGACCCCGAAGGAGGCTCCTGAAAGAGCGCAAGCCCCATGATAGACCTGCGCGTTGGTCAGAAATTGACGGCGGCGTCGCGCCGGCTGCGGCGGCCGCGGCGGCGGCTGCGCCGGCGTGGAGAAAAGCGTTCAACCGACGGTGCGCCACGCTCAGCGTACGACGGCGGCGTGACTTTGCGGCGGCGCACAGGTCTATCACGTGACCAGTGGCGGCTCTCGCGGGCGCCAACTAGAAATTCGTTTCGCGCCAAAAATATAGCTCTACATTTTTCTTTCGCTATAAATTCATATTTTTGGCTTCCTTTCCCCGTTAGGCTGCTTAAAAAAGTTTTTTTTTTTTATACTTGCATGTGTTCTTAGCGCGAAAGGGTCTCTTCTTGGATGTTATCGGCTCAACACAACTCGGCATTGGGGTCTCTTGTTATAAACCACTTCTGTGCGTCCATTGTCGGCAACGGAATGTCGACTGACCCCCTTCCTTGGTGGGCCATGGCAGCAGATAAACTGCCCGTTCCCACACACAGGCACGCATGTGCCTAAGTGAGACGGATTTGAAAATTGTATAATGGACGAAAACTGAAACAAACTATTCTGTTCTATACCATTCTATTCTATTCTATGTCAAGAACGGATCTATGGCTCCGCTTCCAGACACCCATCGATTACTCTGTTTCCTCACAAAACCTTCCTGTCAAACATGCATAAGACCTCAGTCGGATTCACAAGTTACACCAACACCCGCAACAAACACAAAATACACAAACGGATGACAGATCTACATCATCGAACCACCCAGCGCAATAGCATTTGACTATGTTGCGGGGACATAGGCTGAGAAACCGCTGGAAGTTACCGGAAACTCGGAGCACTAAATTTCGAGTGGCAACCACTATAAAGAGTAGCATATGGCACACAGCATCCAAAGCACAAATGTCCCGGTAAGTGGCACTTGTTTCTCGTCATACCCTCATACCTGAGTAAAACGTCACTGCGGTAATAGAACTCATTCGGTAAAAAAATAGTACAACTGGCGATAGGTTAAGGTTACGCAAAGTGAGAGGCTCGCATCACAGGCGACGTCTGCGTCCTTCAGTTCCCTCCACTGCCGACAAAATATTATGTCTGCACTCGGACTTCATGCAGGACCGGGGGGGGGGGGGGGGAGGGGAAAAGGACAAGTTTTGCTGATTCAGAATGATATTTTCGAGCCTGGCTGGACTTCTAAGAATTTACTGAGATGTGGGGGACATACGGCATAAGCCGACGGTGACTTTCTTAACACCCCTCAAAGGGGGGGGGGGGGGGGGGGGTGGAGGGGGAGGACGAAGCAATTATTATTTGCCTGCAGTACCATGCAACCATTTGCCTCAAAATAGTTTTTTGTCGACGCCACATTCGGCAGATGAGAAAATTCTGCATTCTATGGCTCCGTCGTCGTCCTGACAGGCTTTGTGAGTATAGAGGAGGCTATGGTAGTGCGTCGCGAAACCGATAACGGTCGGCGGTGGAGCCAGGCAGGTCTATTTTATCGGTACGTGTTTTTGCTCGCGTGTGTTCACGTGAGTCGCCAAACCCGGCGTCGGAGTCGTGCGTCGAGCGTTTGGGAACACAAAACACTCAGGTGGATGCACACACGTGAAGGAATGCCCGGTCGATACCTCGCTGAAATGATGTCGTAATTCTCGATTCATATCTTGCGTTTTTACTTTCAATTTTGGAATTGCGATGTCGCTTGTACGGTAGAATTTACCATTTCAAAGCTGGGGCACTCGACGTCGGCACGGCGAAATCGGGCTTTTCGAGGTGTACCACGTTTTGCTTTTGTTGTCTTCGTCGTTCTTGAGAGACCATATGGTCCATTTGTTCCTACTAAGCTTAATGCAAGTAAAAGAGATTCTCTTTCAGTATTTATTTGAGCTACGAGCTACACGCAGCAAAATAAAAAGGGAGATGATAGAAGAGGATACAGTGGCTTCGGCGGCGACAGGTTTTGACATCCTGAATGGCTGACTGTGTCACGGCGTTGCACGTTATGCATTGTTCGTGCGGTATGCGTCACTACCGGACGAATTTCCCGAGTGTTGAACGCGCTGTACGGTCGCGGGGACGCAGGAGTTTCTTGAATTCAGACGAACAGTCAGTTGGTGACTTGTTTACGAGGCGTGTATGCGCAGCATAATGCCAACCGGCAGGAGGGCTTGTGTGGAGGATTTGGTCGGCGTAATGTTTGTCAGTCCTTCAGAGGGTCGGGTGCATTTCCACTGTATTTCAGTATATTGCCGGCTAGTGCAGCTTGACTACTAACTGCACCACGCTGTACGCAGAACCAGAAGCTGCGTGCGTTCATGTAAACACTACTGCTTGGTGCGCGTAAACATCCCAAGCTATACTCCGTTTCTCCTAAGGATGGATCGCAGCCGATGCTCTTTTCCGCTTGCCGCTAAAGCTACAAGCGCGATATAGCTCGCTCTCCTAACTTTGAGATGTTCCTCTTAGCACGAGGGCTCGTTTAGCGGACGAACGTTTCAAAGCGGAGATCTCGGGCTCTCATGCTTCCGGTATCGACTCGACTCGCAGCTTATAAGGGTGAACGGAGTACAAAGCCTGTCCCAGAAAATCCGGCGGTGCGAGAGCGCCACAAGACATCTCGCTACACAGAACCGGAAAGTCACGTGATAGACTCTCGGTGCAGGATCAGTTTCACTGGCTCGCAGCGTCCGCTACGGCCAATCATAAGGTGAAACCGAGTACAGCTGCCGCACGGCCCTAGCTACATTACTAATTTTTGGGGTCGAGACATGTCGCGCCATGAATGTCTGCCAAGCGTCGCGCTGTATCAATGCTCAGAAACACCAGACAGATTTGTGTTGAATGCGTAAGATTCAGCATCTTCATTTAATCTGTCCGATCTTTTTCGGATAAAGAAAAAAAAATTGAAGAGGGTTCTCGTAGCTGGTTGAACAACGAGACCCCAACGATAACGAGCGTGTCTGTCAAATCAAGTGTCCGCGGGAAAAGATTGGGACCTCCAAACATGTAGGGCCGTCATTGTTTTGCGGCACTCACTGAGTTAACTTTTTTGCACCAGATTCTCGGGTTTTTACATATTTCGCATAAGCTATAAATCACCTACAAAATCATCCATAATACATGTGTTTAGCGAGCATAAACGCGACACAATCACATTTCAAAGACGTGCGAATGCCGTCATCTTTCATGGCCGTGGTGGGGCCTTTTCCTGTAACATATAGACAAATCGATCACACGACTGTTCATTGCGAAATATACATGCACTCTGTGTTGATCTTCTTGTATGAACTAATTTTAAAACAAAAATCTACCCTATCATAAGCTGTACTGTCACATGCACGGTAAGTATGAAGCTAGTCAGCATGCTTTTCAAAAGCATGCGTTTCTAACCTGCCTATTAAATCGCGTTCGTCAGTAATATCGTGTAATATTAAACGGACGTCGTACGTCGTCTTTAGAAAGTTCGTTTCATAAGCTCAATCTTGGCATTTCGTAGATGGTTTCTCCACCTCAGACTACGCGACATCTCCACAAATATTTGTATACCCTGGATCTCGCACAACACCTATTGCGAGGTTTGGACTTTTCTGCGGTGTTTCTGTGAGCACAAATGAGGAGAAACTCGGTTGGACGTATTGGTGCTTCATTCACATTGGTAACATTATCATGCTTCACCGGAAACGTGACACAATAGAGTTTGATTCGCACTTTCACGCGTGTCATGTAAATTATGCTTCTCACTCAATTTACCGTCATGACTGAGTTGACGTTCATCAACTTAGCTCTGCTGAAGAGAAGCTTGATTTATTTTCACCACTCGGACAAAGTCGGTACACACAAAATGTGCTTCCGCAGAATTGTTTGCGGTTTGTGATTTATATTTCAGTTTTTATTTAATAACAGCAAACATGTCTACGGGCAAGATATCATACGAAAAGTGTAACTATCGAGTGTAGCGAAATTACTTTACACGGACGCCAGCGAAACATAAACGTTACATGGCCCATAGAAGGCAAGCTATTAGCATCCGAAGCATCCGAAGCACATGAAATACATAATTAGTCCTTGCATCCTAGAGCATAGTATATCTTTGCACATTCCTGCATTTTATGAACCTAATTCTGCCAAAATCTCACAATCTCGGGGCCCTAAGCAGCATCAATATTGAAAAGAAAAAAAAAAACAAGAAAATGAAGCAGAGACTTACGTATAGTGAGAATATCGATATCCGTCTCCTGATTTTCCGGCCACGTTTTCTAAAAAAAGGAAACAAAAAAAAAAACATAAGTGGTCAGAACGGTGGTTGTGCTTCCTATTTAATGTGATCAAGCTATTGTCATTAGAAATATGCGTATAATGTCAATGCATTTCTTATTATGAATACTTACCATTTTACGTCATTTCAAAACCTTAAATGCACAAACCCTTAGACTGCATAGTACCGAACTAATAGCAGTAGTACAAACATAATGACGTCAATTTGTTCTAGTGTCTGATTAAAGAACGAGAAGGTAAACAGGTCATTTGAAATTACAAGAGCGCGTACAATATTACATCCCACTAAAATTTACCTGCGTATAACTTTTGAGTCGACTGTTATTCCTACATTTGAACTCCGACATACAACGTTGAAAGCGATTGGATTACCAGCGTACGTGCTATACCAACACATAGTCATCGAAACCTTGAGCTTACCATAATCTCAGCCAGCTGTCCGCAGTCGGCTCTCCGCGCGGTACGGATAAAAAACATTTCAAGGCTAAGTTATGAGATTGTGAAATAAATACAGCTCTCGATTGAAACGACGGAGAAGTATTGAGTATTTCAAATACAGAGAATTCGGCGGTCACAAAAGCCCTCCCGATGGCAGTCGCCCGCAGATAAAGCCGGCTGCTGCCTCGTTGTACGCTACCGCCATGATAACATAGCAATACGTTCAGCTATCAGTCAAAGCAAGTCTGATATGAGGACAGGAAAAGAGATAACCGCGCACTCTGAACGAAAGCCGAGATAATAGCTAGTTTGCCGTTCACGAGATAAAATAAGCGCCACTAGTTCTAAATATAAAAAGGAGACAGTAGGGTATTGTTAGGGCAAAAATGACCTAAATCAGGGACTTTAATTCACGCTGATTTTAAATTCATTGAGTTGCTAAAAAATTTTAAATTAATTGAAGTCTAAGAAAAAAAGGTCACATTATGTGCCGGGTTGGTTTTGGTGCGCTCCAAGCTGACATCTGGTTTTCGATAAAAAGACCTGTAATTTTCTTCTGCTTACTCTGACGCTATTTGTTATCTCGGGCTCAATATTTCCCCAATTTTTCAGTGTTTGTTACGTGAAGGTTTTTTAGGCACAAACTTTTGGACATATATATGCTGTTTCCTTCTCTTTTTGTAGGATCCCAGAAAGCTTTCACCTGCTGTGCAGCGAAGGCGGCAACAACAAGATGGACTATGCTCTTAAATTTAAAACAAGTTCTTCTAGGACAATAAAATGTAGCACAGTGCAGCAAAATGCAGGGCAATGTGCTTGCGGTTTGTTTTACTATATGGGGCATATATTAATTCACTGGACGCCATATTTGAGGTTGATGCGTAGAGCGCATGCTCTGAACGTGCGCATGCTCAGGATGCGTGCTCAGAACATTAATAGGATGCTAACACCGGCAATCTTGATGTTTCAAAATGCATGCTGCAAAACAACTTTGGAACCTCGCCGTCAGCTCGCGCAAGCCCGAGTAGCAGTTGCGTACGCAACTCTGGCCGCCTGTGATAACTTCCAGTAGGCCACACTGGTAAATCAAATATGGCTTTGTGGTCCGGGTCCGGATGGGGTAGGACATGTCGAACATTTAGCTATATTAATCGAGCGGTTGTCTTGAGAAAGCACGTAAAAAATTCCCCGGAGTCGACTTCACGCACGCTGGCGACATCCCAGAACGTCAACGTCAACGTCAACTTCCCTGATAAAACTTGGACCCTCGGGCTCAAGGGACAACCGTAGAACCAAGAGGAAATGGGAGTTGAAGCTATATTGAGTGAAGCGCAAAAATGTACTGCTTTAAGCAGTAGGTGATATACGGCGGAACTCTTTGAGTCGGGCGGCAGCTTGGGCCATCTAGAGGTGAACGAAAGCAGTAGCGTATTCCAGCGAGCAATTTAAATTATCGATGGCGTTTCGATGTTCAAGCAAAATTACGTGTTTTTACAGACATACGTACTTTTTATTGAGCGTGGTTTGATCATGGAAAATGGCACGAGTGCAAAAGTTTAAGATAGCTAGGTGTGAATTAAAAAAAAATTGTATCGTATATCTTCCATTGGAACATGGCATTGCAACTCAGTGCTGGCGTTCTTAACGGTGGTAAAACGCGCGTTGTTCCTTTTTGTATAAAGTTTCAGTACAATCTGTAACTTAACGACCAAGCGTCTACACGGCCTAGTCCACCGAGGACGTTCAGGAGTGGCGGGCCAATCGGTGTCGTCTAAGTTTCACCACTGGAGTGCAGGAGATTATGACTGGAAGCAAATGCGTCCAGGCATCAGCCTCAACATGACAAAGCAAGAAAAAAGGTACAAGAAAGGTACAAGCGTGAAGGAAAGGTAATTTAAAGGTTATTTTACAGCCAAAACACAAATAAACCATTTTCTTTGTGGGAATTTCATTTGTGAGAGGTATTCTTGGCGGGGGAGAGGGGCAATGTTTTCTTCCGACACCCAAGTTCGTTGAGGCAGGTGACATTTTTGTTGTTCGGAACTCTGAGGAGATGTTCAAACTTTTACAGGGCAGAACCTGGGAATAAATAACTGAGTTTTCGACTGGCATCAACTCCTATTGTGTTCAGCGTGAGCAATCGCTTACAGCTGCCAAACAAGGCATTCAGTAAAACGAAAAGGTCGTCTTTGATAATCCGCGTGGTCTTTCCATGGTTTGCTATTGGAGTGGCTGAACCATTATTGTAATTGCCTCTCTCTTCCCTACGAGAGACACGAATAGTAAAGAAACGCTCTATTGGTAGAGGTTCGAAAGTGACACCGGTTTGCTTATACTTTTCTTGCCTATACTGACACTCAAGTAAGTGAAACATTTGAACAAAATGAATATGAAATGGTTTTTAGAATATTTATTAGATAATCCGCGCAAATGTCCCAGTTTCCGAAACTTTATCTAGTCAAGCTTCCTGCTGCAAGCTTTTTGTCTGCTGTCCTCGGCACAAATTTGTTCTAATAGAGTACACAGTTCAAAGCTTCCTTCTAATGAATGAACAAATAACATCATGGCCAATTAAATCCTTTACTAGCTGTGCATGCAGCTCACACTTACATTTCACTCATAAACAACGGTCTGAGGCAAGTTACAGTTCTTAGATTTGGGCACATATTTGAAAAATAAACGCGTGTTGGGGTATCAATCACACTCCAGGAAAAAAAAGCTACTGTACAACTCGGCGCACTCTAAATTTGTGGAGAGAGGGGTATTCTCCTCCGGCGCAAGGGCCGCTGCGGAAAAATCATGTCATTCCCAAATGAAGAATAGATTTCATTCACAGCTGAGTAGAAATGAAGAGGCTGATTGTACCTCTTACTTTCTCATAAGAGTTTCAAAAACCTCACCAAAAGGTAGAAAACAGCGACATATGATAGTGGGGCAGGACTATCAGGAAAGAGGGCAGACCCGTGGTCCTACCTTACACACACAAGACGTCACATAGTTTGATTAATGTGATCAACTGGTTTCGCATTACACTACATTTCTCAGCGCCAAATAAATTATCACCCTAGAAAAAATTTCAATAGAGGATCCTTTTTGTATAAAAATATGGTCCAGTAAACCTATAGACCAACAGAATCCTATCCTAACCAACAGGTGTGACCTATCTGTATATTAGAATCCTGTTGGTGTATTCGCCCGATTGAGGCCTACTGATGTATTGGTCCTATAGAAGCATATTGGTGCATTGGTTCATTAAATTTCGCAATAAACCAATAGCCTTTATAGGAACAGCCATCCGACTGGTGTGCTGGTCGGGTCTTCATTTATGGTTCCTCGATCTCCGTTCCATGACGTCACAGTTTTGGCCTGCTGTACTCTGCCGCGATATTGGCCTTGGCGCAGCAGTGGAGCTGGAGAGAGCAGTCCCCTTTTTTGTGTGGGTCGCTATCAGCTTGACAGTCACAGAAGCATTATCGGCAAGAAAGTGTGTCGCTGTGACGAAAGGGACACTTTCGTTTTGTCTTATTTGCTGAGACGGATAGGACAAACCACCGGATTTGCGACATCCTAGCGCACGACATGCCAGCTTCTACGACATATTTTGTAACCACTTCGGGGCCACTTTCAATATAGAATGCCAGAAACACCAGTCAAATAGGCATTCCAGGCACCTTACCATGCACTATTCATTAGGGCCACTAGGCATTAGAAATCATGGTCCCAGAAAAAGCATGAACAGTACAAGTGGCATAACCAGGGAATGCGGTTAGCAAGCCTAACATGCATGCAATGCCTAATGTAGAAATCATCTAAGCTGCAGATATTTAGTTTAGCTTTATTGCTTCGAAGGAAGTTGCGGTTAAACTTAAAGTTCTGCAGTTTGAGATAACAAGTGTGTAAACACTTTAAGAGCATGTACGCAAACTGCTCTATACCTTTCACAACAGGGCAATAAACATTGTGTTCTGGACATTTTATTGAAATTCGAAAGTGGTAAGCATATTCAGGGTTTATCATGACTGAAAATATTTGTAAAAAACTAGCAAATTAATAAACATCTAAAACACTGTAGAAGAACACAATCAGAAAAAAAATTGCTCAAGATACTTGTGATAATAGCAATTGTTTTAAAATCTAAAAACTACACCTGTACACTTGCTGCATGAATTTGACTATAAATTTAAACTGCTAAATGAAGATCATACTTTAAGCGGGAATTGAACAGTATGCATCTCTTGTAGAATAAAATTGACTAGGACTTGAAACATCTAAATGAATGTAGTACTCTTTAATCGAGATTGAACATTGGATAACGGTTAAACAGCGCAACAGGACAACAAACAGAAAGAAAGACACAGAAACAGCGCTGTGTCTGCGTCTTCCTTTCTGTCCGTTGTCTTGTTGCGCTTTTTAACCATTTTGAATCACCAACTCACCCTAAACTCCACACTTATGAATATTGCACTTATTCTTTGGCCTAAAACTGATACAAATAAATGAAAGTTGTATTTAAGCTTCTATTGAGCACATTGCTTGACAAATGAAAGGTTTTACACCCACAGCTCTGCAAGTCCCAAACCGCAGGCAGGCAAAAACATAATTGCAGTGCTTGCAAAAGACCCTTGCAAATATTTTGCAAATTTTTGTACTTCGTTTATAAAAGGCTGAGGAAGTGGAAGCAAATAAAAACATGAATTAAAGCGCACTAGTGATTCCTTAAGAATATATATATATATATATATATATATATATATATATATATATATATATATATAAAGATGAAGACAGAACAATTAAGAGATCACCCCAACTGGCTGCATATACATTTTTGAAACACCTGCAACAAAGGAAACGGTTGTAGTAATGGCCTGGGTGAAGAAAGGTGACAGGAGAGTAAGCAAGGGAAAGGAAAGGGAAAGACGAAAAGGAAGCGACCCAGAAGACTGGAAAAACCAGGGTGTAAGATAGACAGGTGGGGAAACGAGAGCCAAATGAGCGACCGAATTGTGTCCCCCTCGGGTTTCTCCTTTTCTGTGGCGCCATCTATGTGGAGCACCGCGTACTCTCACTCCGGGTGGGCAACCGGTGGCGACCGGCTAAACTGACGGAGATGGTTTCTCGTGCATTTTAAATGGAGGACTGTCAAGCACTCGGTTTATTTTGCGCACTCTCCCATAGAGTTCCATG